AAAAAAAAAAAAAAAAAAAGGAAAGAAAGAAAAATCACTACTAGTCAAACACACAGGCAAAATTCAAATTTAGTTTTTTCCATTTTTGAGTTTACTAAATATTCAAGTGGTATAAAGCTTGGTACCAAGCAAACAATATCTGCTTAACCTGGGCCGAGGTTATAGCTCAATGATACAGCACCTGTCTAGCAGGTATGAGGCACTGGGTTTGACTTTCAGCACCACATAAATAAATAAAATAAAGATCTATCAACAACTAAAAAAWWTTTTTTTAAATCTGCTTTACCTGCCATTCACCATAAAGCCACTCCAAGACTTAACTAGAAAAATGACTGATGAGAAATCCAATAAGGCCTATTTCTTAATCAACTAACATGAGTAAATTATTAAAAATTAGTTTACACTAGAAAAGTTGACACCATACTATTAATACTGCAGTACTATACAATTATTCTGGAAGACAAGAAAGAACTTCAAAAACCATGAAAGTCTGCCTGGCACAAGACCTGAAAGGGAAACTAGTCATCCAAAGAGCACAGGAGAGAGCTACACACAGTACTAATAGACCAACCACCTGGGGGGCCTGGTGTGCACCTACAGTTCCAGTTCTGGGACTTTGTCGCCTTGGACAACAAAGCAAGACCCTCATCTCAAAAAAAAAAAAAAAAAAAAAAAGAAAGAAAGAAAGAAGAATAACCAGGGGTATGGGATTTTTTCTTTCAGGATATAACGGTTGCCTTTCTCAGTTCTGGTAAAAAGATTCAGAGGTAATGAAAAAAAAAAAAGTTGAAAGGCCACCTTTTCAATGCTCCTGTCACTTGTTCTTAGAGATTTTTTTATAAAATTCAATAAGTAAGTGAAATATTTTGCCTGCCTTTTAATTTTCTTAAAACATGGAAAGAATAAAATATGATGAGATGGTCTGATACAAGTGAATTCTTTGAAAACATGCCGGGCTTTATTCTGATTTTCTCTTTCACCTTAGGAGAGGGCTTAGTGAGATGAGCAGTATCTGTTACTCAGTTTTAATCAATAAGTTAGTTTTTTAATCTACTTGGGTGCTTTGCATGCATTGATTTCTCTAACGCATTTTCATCAGAATTCTTGTCTTTTAAGAAAAAAATGAGCAGATTCAATCTACTTATCTAGTGTAACATTAATCAAGGTACTAATTGCTTCTGTGGATTTCAAGCTTCTTTAACTAGTGTCATTTAAATTCATGAGAATGAAAAACAGAAACAGAACAGCTAACCTAGAACCTGAAGAAGGCCTGTATCTTCAACCACACAACATATTTAAGATTTAAACAAATATTTGATGAAGTGCTTCTAATTTTACATCAATATTGTTTTATACTTGATCATACTAGCCAACATCAACTGGATTATAAAGAATCGGTACATTCCATTGTTCTGTAGTCTGAGAAGTTTATTTTATCATGATTATTTATCCAAAAGTTATCAGGCAACTTGTTAGTGTCAAGACTTACAGTAGCTTACACTAAAAATCGTAAATTAAAAACTAGACAAAGTCCAAAGAAACCAAATAACCCAGATAACCAATAAACTCTGATAAGCACAACAAGTTATCAAGACCTTAAAATCATACACATGGATAAATTACACGCCCTACCTTAAGTTAATAAATGTAAAAAGTCCTTCCAGGCTATAGAAAAGAAGTATTTCATTAGTGCTTTGAAATTACTGGAAATTTTAAAAGATCTAGATTTTATGCTAAAAAGCCTTTTTCTCAAGAGGAGGCTGACACACAAAAACCAGGGACAGGAGATCATCACTGCTCAACCTCTGAACAAAATGAAACTGTGTATTTTAAGTAAAATCAACACAGGCCATCAGCCTAAACGACAGCGAAGAAGAACCAGGCTGCTCAGGGGACCCTCCCTCCACAACTGAGAAGCCAGCAGATCTGAAGCACCCACCACCATCCTCCTCAGAGCAGAAGGGCT